TTCTACCCAGAAGCTGTCTTTGTTTTGTAAAAAGTGTAAAGCTAGTTTACAAAAATATGCCCTTTTTGGGGGGGAAGGGGTTAATTAGAACCTCTATCTCTGGTTTTGCTTGGCCTTGCTTGAAGATATTTTTTGAGAGGAGTTGTGTTATTCTCATATCAAGCTGAATTTTAACTGATGGTTTTCAAAAGCACTCAAAAAAAAAACTTCATCAAGGAACCAATAGCAGTATAGATTACACACAGTTAAGTTCATCCAGGGCTCTTCAACGAGCTGTTGGAAAAAAATCAGAGCCTAGGATGGAAGGGGGCCAGACCAACAATACTGATGACACAAAAGAAACATTCACCTCCTTCTTTGCCTTGCTGTATTTTAAATACACTTGACACTTTACGGTGGAGAAGACCATTTAAATAAAAAGTCAAAACTCATGTCTGTCCTGGAGATAACACATGGTTTGCTTTTCTGTGTACAGACTCCTGTGAGAAGTAAGAAGTGCCTTGTTTTAAGATGAGTGAAAATCTGTTCACATTTTCTAAACTGAAAAAAATGTTGAAATAGCATGAGTAGTAAATATTCATAATTTAAAAAATATTCTTAATAATAGTAAATATTCTTAATTTTAACACGTTTAATTGAAAGTTTACAGAGCCTGAGTGCCCTGTATTGAGATAGTTTATGGTTGAACGGTTTAAACAGCAGTTTGTAGATAAGCGCCTGCTCGCCCGCATTCACGGAAGGCGATGCATTCACCTCATTGTCCATCCTCCCCGTGTATGGGTAACCCTTCTGCTAAACTCTGTACTGTAGCAGAAGGTCTAGTGATCCTCCGTTTTCTGCTCAGCGGACATACTCTTTGCCTGGAGCGGTGAGGAGGGAGGAGGCTGGGCAGGGGTCTGTGTGGTGGCTCCCTGTGTCTTTGAGGGCCCATGGAGCTCCGCGGTAGCTGGAGCAGCACCTTGGACAGAGACGCTCCGGGGAGCAGAGCCCCAACCTGGAGGAGCTCAGCAGGGGAGCGGCATGAGGAGAAACGTGAAATGGCTTTTCTTTACTTGGGTATTAGACTTTCCGTTTTGTTAACAAGATGGTGAAATGCTGTCTGTAAGCAGATTGGTTTGGCTGTGTTTCAACCGCTTCCTAGCCCGCCTTTTCTGCAGAATTAAGTATGGTGGCCGCCTTTTACTTGTGTTCAGCTCTGGTGCGCAGCACGGCTCGTTGGCAGCATGACTTCTGTTTCCTCGCTGTAGTATTAACGAGTTACGCAGGGTTTGATGTAATGGAGAATGTTAGTTCTTGAGGATGTACTTTGGAAATGGAGGATCTCTTACGTTACTTACAAAAGAAGGATGCAAAATCTTAAATTTGCAACCATCTTTTTTTTTTATTCTACCTTGCAATTCTGTATCAAGAATTGTGTGTCTGAAATGTTCTGCTCTGTGAGGTTATGTAGGGAAGTCAGTTGTTAATTTGATTATCACACGGTTGGAAATAAAGAAGCAGCTGAAGGATTTTCCATCTCAAAATTTTGGAGGAAAGAGGAGGAGGATGACAACTCTTTTTGGAGGCGCATGAGGCTCTGTTTCATGCATTGTTTTAGTAGCATGTTAAAAAAATCATTTGTTTCCTAATAATAATTTACAATGATGTTTAAGTCTGAGGAATATAAAATTTTCATTATGTTTGAAACTAAGCAGCATTACTTTTTCATGTACTTTAGAGATATCCAGAGACAAAAAGCTAAACATTGCCTAGATGTCTTGGGGTTTCTAATTTCAAATGCATTATATGCGTGTCCATATATGCATTCTTATATAGAAGTATACAGGCTTTTTTGAACCTGAATTTCTCACTGTGCCCCTGGGAGCACTTGCACTAATTGTGTTACTGTGCTGTACTTTACCCATCAAACCTAAATATTCTTTGTGTTTTTACAATATACTTTGTCACAAACACTTCCCACCTCTTATGGTAAAGAGAAGCTTCTATGCATACTGAAGGCATTATAATAAAAGATTTGAGTTTTGGGAAGTCTTAAATGCTAGCACTGCATGCACTTAGAATTAGTTTGCTAATGAGATTTGTAATAACTTCAGGAGTTTTCCATCAGCCTCGCTTTAAGATTGGATTTTATTTTTATACTCTTGCTGAAGAGTAACTACAAAGCAGAACTGTACTGCTGCTCTTTCCCAGCGTAACTTGATATATTCAAAGCGTGTTGACTTTTCAGGTGTTTCATTTTGAGGACTTTAGGTTGGAATAAATAAATTACTAACAAGGATACAAATATATTTGCAGCTGTCACAGTTTTAAAAGGTACATGCAACATACTAGAAATAGAAAATAGGTGCAGATGGAACCTCAAGTCTTAGCATGTTCTCTTGGCCAAGGTGGTCATCTTTCATTAATTGCAAGGATAAAAAAGGAAGATGCCCTATGTCATGTATGATGGTCCTGGTTGTATTTTGACAGCTTTTTTCATAATAATTGACTCTAATGTGGCTTAAATCTGTTAAGCACTCAGGGTATCAGGTGGAATAGGCACGGAGCTGCCTAGCTCTATCTGGCACCCTTGTGATAGAGCTGTCCTATTTGTAGACTACCTACTCCATGCATTGCTAACTTGTTTTGGACCACTTAACAGTGTTGCTTCTAATTCTTTTCTCCACAGATCTTTTGGTTTCTCTTATATCATCTGTAAACTATGCTATTCTCTTCATTTACTTGAGTAATTAGAGTAGTACCAAAACCTTAAAACTCTCATGGTGCATCATTCTGGCTCTCTGGTGGCTACTGCTCTCTGCATGCACTAACTTATATGATACAGTTACGTATGTCAGTGATCCATCTGTCTCCCCTTGGTTTTTTTTGTTTGGTTTTTTTTTTTAATGGGTGGATATTTGCTAAGGAGAAGGGAGTAAAGAATCTTCTTCACAGAACAGATTAAAATTAGCTAACTCCATAATGGAAGGCTGAAATGACTACTCTGTGTACGTATGTGTTCAAAGGTACTAATTTTACATCAAATCAACTTGTCTTATGCTGTACCGGTAAAATTCTTTTCTGTGTAGGCTCTGAAGATAATTACTGGAAAACTTGAGGAGAGAAAATTAAATTCCAACTCTTACTTTGCCAAAAGACATTACCTTAACAATACTGAACTTCAGTTTACTTCAGGCATTTGGAAGTACAGGGTGCAGGGAAAATCACACAACACACAGCCACGATAAGGCGCTTGTGGGATGTATATTTCAAATTGCCTATATTGTTTAACACGGGCTCTTTCAAACAATGAAGTTGCATAGATATTAGCATATGTGTAAGTGTGTGTTAGTTTAGCCTGCTTAAGCGTATGTTTTGTCACGTTTAGAAATTTTTATAACCGGAGATGTTTCTTAGACTTAAGTTGCAGCTGCTTTTGTTAAGAACTGGCAGATGTACTTTGCAGAAGATGCTAAAATTTCTCAGTGCAAACAAGTTTTAATCTCTATTGCCACCTGTGTGAAACAAACTAGTATGCAAGAGAGCTTAGCTAGAGGCCAGCTGTTCTGAGAAACTATGAAAGCTGTTAAGTGCAGCCCCTCTTCAAAAGGAATAACAAATCTGGTTTTGTCTTACCTTTTGAGCCTTCTGCTGGCACAAATGAATTGAAGCTGCCTGTTCAAAAAGGTAAAATAAATGAATGAATCATATGGAAAATGTTGGTAGAGTAATAGCAACTTCAGCAGCAGAACATGTCAGTGCAGCAGCTCTTAATAAACTCTCCCCAGTTACTTGTAGGTGGCAAATTTAAGAAGCTCGGGTGAGTGCTCGGGTAAGGGCAGAGGAGGAATTGTAACTCATCTCTGGTGAAGAAGCGTGAACTGTTCGCTTCTTGGGCAGAACTTATATTTAAAATAATATTCTCACAAGAAGAAGAAGAACTTGGTGTAGGAATAAAAAATAGCTGTGCTTTACAATGTTTATTTAAAATGAGCTATAATTTTCTTAGGTGTGTCTTAATTTAATAAAGTTAATGACCTAGCAAACAAATTCTTAAATGTGGAAGAAGTTAAACTGCTACAATGCTACTGCTATCAGGAATGTGCTCTTTGGCATAAAACTGATAAGGTACTTCTTGGGAACCTGGTTTTAATCTCAATTTTATAACCTGTGAGTTCCAAGAGCTTTCTAAGGTCTAACTGTTATGTGGCTGTTTTATCGCCAAATTACAGTGGCAAAACTCTGCTTTGTGTCCGAATTCAGCCTGGTTACTCTTTCAAACTGGAAAACTGCACGTGAGTTTTTGCAGCACTGAGATCTATGGTTAGAAATAGAAGCTTTCAAGAGTCTGTGGCCATAGTTGAGGTGTCTACCCTGTGCTGATGCTGTAAGGTTCATTGGGTATCCGAGCTCCCTTTGGAGGGGAGAGGATAGGAGTGAACGGATCTGGATTGCGGGCTTGTCATTGTGTGTGTACTCCAATACACCTGTATTGTAAGGCAGTGGGCTTACTGTTTGTTGCCTCTTTTTCAGGTTTATGTAGACCTGAAACAGAGAAAAGATTCAAAGAAACCAACCCATAAAAGCTAAGGGAACAGTTCTGCCTTACTGAGCCTGGTCATGAGTGCTGTTTGATTTGAGAGAGTTCTAAAGAGTCTCTTGATTGTAAGATGAGCTTGCTGTGACTTGGGAACTCTGCTTTAGAAAGACTTTGTTAACACTTTGGTTGCAGTTGAAAGACTGAAATTGTTTGAGGTGTTTAACTACTCCTTAGGGTGTCTAAGAGCCCATTTCAGCTAGGACAGTTAGTGGCATAAGTGCATTTATCAATAATTAGAAATAAGATTGGAAGCTGAGGCATGCACTTTGAACAGCTGGGTGAGTTGGGCAAAGCCCACTATATTTCACAACTTCAGTGAGCTCGGTCACCCTGTTGTATCTGGGTTCCTTCTTGCCCCGGGTGGTTTTGAATATGTAACTGTGATTAAAGATTGAGTGGTATCTAACTTCTGTCCCTCCAGGTGAAGATGGAGCAGGTAAAACTAGCTTAATAGGAAAAATTCAAGGAATAGAGGAATACAAAAAAGGAAGAGGAATGGAGTATCTGTATTTAAACGTGCATGATGAAGATCGAGACGGTAAGTTTCTATTTCTAATAGTATCTTAAACCAATTTGAAAGCAGTGGTTCGGTAGTGTGATGTTTGGAGTGACAGTGGGATGTCTGTCTTTATCATTTGCAGGAGTCCAGTGTAGGCCATGAGTGATTTGTATCATGAGGAGGTTTCTCAGTGTATTTCTTTTAGTGGATAACGTGAATGAAAAGACTGAAAAGTAAAGACTAGGGGAGCAGTCTTAGCTGCAACATTCTGCACGGATGGTAGGCAGCAGTGCATTCCTCAGGCCAGGAGGCAAAGGTGCTTAGGTTCTTTCCTTGCATCTCAATTACTGGAGCAAGAGTTTATCTTTTTGAACGCACAGAGAAATCTCTGGTTTGGTGGTATCAGGACCTGCAGGACTAGGTATCGTGTATTGATGGGTAGGAAAATGTGCACAATGCTAAGGATGTTTTAAAAAGAAATCAGCAACAATAGACAGACACAAGCATTTGAAGGAAGGAGAAGTGGCAGCTGTGTTTCAACTGGCTTGTGTTAGGTTACGGCTAGAAGGTAAAAAAGGTGGTTAAGATCCAGATCCCAAATACCTGCAGTTACGGAATGATGCTTATATGTGGGGGAACAAGGGAAGGGGTATGATCAGGCAGTGTAGGTGTGATGAATTATCTAGAGGCAAGACTTAGAGGGAGTGGGGAGTGAATAAGGACATACTGGGAGCTGTGGGGGGAAATGGGAACTCTTCTCTATACCGTAAGAACAACTGTAGATGGAATGAGAACCAGAAGAGGTTGGGCTCTCTTTTTCTGAAACCACCTGCTTTCCTGACTTCTGTGTCTGGCTGTTGGTCTCAAAGGTGATTTGACCAGGGTTAAGAGGGTTGGGAGTTTGATCCAAGTGTCTTCCTCAAAACTTCTGTAACAAGTACTAAACACTTACCTGAAGGCAAAATGTAATTATATTAAACTATCTAATTTTGAGTCACCAGCTCTTCATTTACTGCAGAAGTGTCTCTGAATATTGGAGTATGGTGCTTTAGGGGAAAAAAAGCAGTTGGATGGTCTGTTTGTTTAGTGATTGTCCTTTTGCAAATCTGAAGAACAACTGGCTTGCCTGCTAAGTCCACCTAAGTCATTAAACTCGCAGTTCTGCTCCAGCTTTCTGAATGGCCAAGGTCCATTCTGTTCTTTAAGGGTTATAGGCTTATCGCATTGGAGTTTTGAAGGGGGTATGGCAGTCACCCAATTACTCCCGTTCTAAGTTGCATCTTGAAGAAAACATTTTCGCCTCTCTAAAATGGTGACTGTTAATTTTGGAACTGTTGAGTATTATCTCTGGATTCTCACTTTCAGGTAATGTATTTAAGATCTTCAGTTATCAGCCATTAATCATCAGGGTTCAGTAGAGGAGCGGGGGTCCTCCGCTGTGTTACGTATGTTCGGTTGGTTGATAAAACATGACGTCTGCTTTCTGCCTTGGATTTTACATGTCTGAAGAAGCTTTCGTAGCCATTATATAGTGAACTCTTACTCAAGGAAGTCTCAAAGTGGTTTTCTTTTTTTTTTTTGTAGACCAAACAAGATGTAATGTGTGGATTTTGGATGGTGACCTGTATCACAAAGGTCTTCTTAAGTTTGCGATGGAAGCAAGCTCTCTAAAGGACACTCTAATTATGTTGGTAGTAGACATGTCTAGGCCTTGGACTGCACTGGATTCTTTACAAAAATGGGCAAGTGTTGTAAGAGAACATATTGACAAGTTAAAAATTCCTCCTGAAGAAATGAAAGAAATGGAACAAAAGTGTGAGTATTCTGCCAATACACAGGAATCCATTTAAATCAAATATGCTTAATGCCTTTTGCCTCATTTAATCTCGCTTTTGCAGTCATCCTCATTCTTTGGAAATGTTAATTAAGATTAGGAGTCATCAAGTAAGTCAAGCTTTAGATAATTTCAAGTAGCTTTATGAAAAATACTAGTATTTCTAACACAAGTACCTTAATGGGGAGGGGGGAAGCTTTCAGAATGAGCACAGAGGGTTGAATGTACAATCTTGTTTCTTACAGCTTTTTTTCTAGATAAGATTCTCCAAGTGAAAAAACTTGTTGGCTTTCAATTGCTTATTTATTTATTTTAAAGGCAAATCACTGCATCAGCTTCTTAACTGTTTCTGTAATTAGTCTAGAGAATCTGGGACCTGTTCCCTGCCTACCAAAAGTGTATATGTGGAAAGGATTCATGACAGCATGGTAAATGTCTGGGCCTTTTCTACTTGAAGAGTTTTATGATAATTATTATCGACACTGATGCAGCGGGATATGATATAGCTCTATCTGTGTCTTGTCTTTTTAGTTTTAAATGTGCAGAGCACAAAGATTGGGCTGGATTCCTTAAACTATCTGACTGAAGTCACTGATATCACAGCTCCATATTATTATTGGGTAGCCACTGTATTTCCCTTGTAGTACTAAAACATGAGTCTTTCTCCTGTTCATCTCTCGGTGAATTACTACAGGGAAGAGCATTTGAGAGAGCTGTTTGTTAAGATCAAATTGCACAATTAAACTTCATTTATAAGTCTGAAGTTGTTCTTTGGAACTGGTACTTTTTTAAGCAACTGACTGCCAGATTGCTGAAGAGCTTTTTAAGAAATGCAGGTTGTAGCCATGCTGTGATAAAGTAGCCTCGAAGGCGACCCTTGTAGATAATCTGGGATGGGAGCAGGGGAGGCTGGTTGGTTGGTTTATTCTTTTGAGAGGGATCCTTCTGAGGGAAGTAGCATCTTTGAGAATTGTCCCTTAGTACTGGGCATTGGTGAGGCTGCACCTCGACTACTGTGTTCAGTGTTGGGCCCCTCGCTGCAAGAAAGACACTGAGGGGCTGGAGCGTGTCCAGAGAAGGGAACGGAGCTGGGGAAGGGTCTGGAGCACAAGTCCCGTGAGGAGCAGCTGAGGGAGCTGGGGGTGTTCAGCCTGGAGGAGGCTGAGGGCAGACCTGATCGCTCTCGGCAGCTGCCTGCCCTGATCGCTCTCTGCAGCTCCCTGAAAGGAGTGTGCAGAGAGGTGGGGGTTGGTCTCTTTTCCCAAGTGACAAGTGATAGGACAAGAGGAAACAGCCTCAAGTTGGGTCAGGGGAGGTTGAGATTGGGTATTAGGTAAAACTTCTTCACCAAAAGGGCTGCCAGGCACAGGAATAGGCTGCCCTGGGAGGTGGTGGAGTCACCATCCCGGGAGGTATTTAAGAGACATGTGGGTGTGGTACCCAGGGACATGGTTTAGTGGTGGACTTGGCAGGGTTAGGTTAATGGTTGGACCTGATGATTTAAAGGTCTTTTCCAACCTACAAGATTTTCTGTCTTCCACAACAAGATATTGTTTAGGAGGGAGGAGCTGAACTCTTCTGGGTGTGGTTTTTGTTTTGGTTGTGTTTTCAGGGATGGGAAGGCAGGGTGTTATTAGTGTGTATGTGTATTGAACATACACCCCCAACAGTTTCAAGATATGATTTTACTGGATGAAAGTAGTAAGGACATAATGTCTCTGTTGTCAAAAATGTATAGGCTGATAGTTTTGCTTTTTACTGACTGAACAGAATAGTGGAACTCTACAAAATCCAGAAAGTTTAAATGATGAGTCAAGAAAAACAGCTACTCATTAAAAGTTCCATGTGCTTTCTTCTTCTGTCAGCTGGTCTAATCCTTTTATATACTGATGGTCTGTCTGTGGGGTGTAACAGATGTCCTGGACACAATCCAGACATGACTGGAAGCTGGTTTTGTTTTTAACCTCCTGTGGTGTGGCTTTGTGCGTTGCTAGGCGGGCAGCAGCTTGACGCTGCCGAAAGGAGAAGGGAGGAACCTTGCTTGCCTGACTTTTGGCTACATGGTCCTGCTTAATTCTGCTGGCAGGCTCAGTGCTTCTGAGAGGCTCTTGTGGGCTGGTGAAATTTGCTCACAGGCCTGAAATCTCTTGAGGGTTTTCTGCTGGTGTGCTGCTGTGGTTGTCTTCCAGTGCTAGTGACTTGACTCCACTCAAAGACAGACCATGTGCGGACTGAGACTGGTATGGGAAGGCCTTCGGGGCTGGACAGCAGCTGTGTGTGAAGGGTTGGAATAGCTCCTCCTGTTACCGAATTCAGCTCTGTGATCTCGGAGGGCTTCAGTCAGTTTATTGATGGGTGGTGGTGGATGAACAGAAATCAGGAGAAAGCAGTGAGCACGTGCTGGAGTAGTTAAATGCTCGTGTGCGTGATGCAGCTGAATCATCTTGCTGCCTGGCGATTCCCCCCCTCCCCCCCCGAATGGGGATGTGCTACTCATAGCAAATTAATCAGTGGTTGGGTTTGGTAGAATCCCGTTTCTGCCACGTGAAACGGCATGTGATGTGAAAAGTACAGGCATTTTATGCCTAATATTGCATCCCTGACTGTAGGAATAGTAAGTAACTGCATAATTGGAGGCTTGGGTGTGTGCATGGGAACCTGACAAAGGAGTTACACGTGCAACTTTTATCTTTTTTTCTAATTCTGGTTGTATTCTGACTTACTTCAATATTTAGCAAGGAGTTTATCTGGTCCATTGTAAAAGCATGCCAAATATTTAATATGCTATTAACTAATTAATAACTAATATTTGTGTGTTCTATTCTTTTTGCTTATTACTGCTGGACATTGACTGTACAGAGAGAGAAGTGTGGACCAAGGGGTTTTAGAAACAACCTGGTATGCAGTAGCAGCTAAGCAGTATGCATAAGGCTTAATTCTGTTTATTCTAGCAAACTGTCCAATTTTGCTAAAAGAACACAAGGAAACTACCATCCTTTAGGAAATGCATCAAGCAATAATAGTTAACAGTAACTGCCTGGTGGTTCCACAGTGATAAAGTATAAATGGGTTAATGCTGTCCCTATGGACAGTTTCATCTGACTGTGTTCTGGCTGCTGCTAAAGCCGATCTCAAACTTACTGCGTACTTACTCTTGTGCTGCACAGAGCAAACAATTAGTCAGCATGTGGTGCACGCTTAGTCTTTTTGATGTAAAGAAGCAGAAGTACTATACAGTCGACAGTACTAGAGATCAATGGCAGTGGAAATTGTTGAAATAATCAAGTAGCTGATCTTTTAATCTAACTTCTTTTACTTTCAGTGATAAGAGACTTCCAGGAATATATAGAACCAGGCGAGGACTTTCCAGCTTCTCCACAGAGAAGAAATACTTCATTACAGGAAGACAAAGATGACAGTGTGATTTTACCCCTGGGTGCAGATACACTAACATGTAACTTAGGCATTCCAGTAGTAGTAGTTTGTACAAAGGTTTGTTTCACATTTTAGGTCTTCTTATATATTTTATTTAAGCAACTCTGTCAATTGTGGACTTGGGGTGGGAAGCATGTCATTCTTGAGTCATTCTGAATTCCTTAGATAAGAATTCTTGGAAAATGTTCGATGTGGAAGGTTGGTTATTTTCTGGAAGTCCTGATTGCATGTAATTTGGGAGTAGTTTTTCCTTTAGTTATGCCAGTTTTCAAGAAATTGAGGAATACCTCAGACCTGGTTGTGCTCACAGAAGTGAGCTAGTCCGTAAGCAACTAGAATTCCCCTTGATCTCCCCAGTTGTTCTTACTCTGCAAATAGCATTTTGGTAGGGTCTTTTGGGTTTTTTGATGTTTCTGATCTTTTTATGAAGATGAACGTGAGGGTTCTAGTTAGTAAGGTGCTCCTCTATTAACCTTCCTCTGTTCTTTGGGTGGTTTTGTGATCTGTTTTGGTTTCTGTTAGATATGTAGCCATATTCTTAGTCTAAAGAAAAAATGGTGCGGTTCTCTTGTGGCTGGTTTGGGGTTTTTGGGTGGTTTTCCCCCCCACCCCAGGCTCTTCAGTTCTCATTGGCATGAAGCATACTGCATCCACAGCCTCTGCTGACCCATAGTGTAGGAATAAACCTTTTGGTGCATATGCTGTTCCTCCACGGGAAGGCTAATGCCCTCATTCGAAAAGCACCTTTATTCTCACCTGCTAGCTCTCTGTTATTCTTCCCCACCTCCCTTGGGGTCTGTGTTTTTCTGCTTCCACATTTCCTGCTTTTGCCTCCCTTTGCAAAGAGCTAACTAGTAATTGGATAAAAAACACTATGTCCTGTAATACCATGGTGCATAAAACCCCAAATTGTGCAGAAAGTGGTGGTGTCATTCAGCAGGTCAGTCCCCAACAGAGTTTGAGTTACTGCATTGGAGGGGGGAGGGCGAGTGAGTGAAAATGGCAAGCAGTTTGAGTCCCAAGTTAATGCTGACCATAGTACACACTCGTGAGGTTACATAATATTTTTAAGAAATTGTTCAGTTATGCTTCTAAACTATCCCAGCAGGCTTTTGTTTTTCTCTGCACCACCCACCCCACTCCATCCCCCTTGCCCAGCTGTGCACTGGTGTAGCAGCACTGCTATTTCAACTGGCAGCTGCGAGTGGCGTATTAATTCCGTGTGTATCTTGACAGTGTGATGCCATCGGTGTTCTGGAAAAAGAGCATGACTACAGGGATGAACACTTCGACTTCATTCAGTCACACATCAGACGGTTTTGCTTACAATGTATCCTTTAACACACCATAAAGATGCTAAAGACTCAATTAAATCTTTGCATTAATTATGACTAGCTTAAAAGAGTATTTGCATCGGTACCAAAGTAGCATGGGAGTCCTCTGCTGCAGCTGGCAGTCTGCTTCAGCTCCCCCTGAGACAACGATGAGTTAAACTTGTCTGGTTTGGTTTGTAGGGTGTTTTTTTGTGGTTTTTCTTGTGGTGGTGGTGGTGTTTTGTTTTGGGGTGGTTTGTTTTTTACAGAGCTGCAAGAGTCTAGCGTGTCCCCTTACCACGAATTTCTGTACTTACTTTCATTTCCAGATTCAGGAGTCAGCCTGCAAATCAGCACATCTTAGCCAACAAGGTCCCTGAAATAATAACAAGATAATTCATTTAAGTATGATCTTGCTTCAGATGCACGAGGCATGTTTTTCTTTTTGACCCAAATATGCAGCCTTTTTGCTGTAATTCCACAGGATGAGGTGACGAGGGAAAGAAGGAAGTGTGAATTGCTGCAGAAAGATCCACTGGCTTTTCTTGTGTTGGTGCAGAGACAGTGCACATGAGCTGTCGCTGTGCTATTACTATTTTAAAACTCTTTTTTTGAAGAAGTGTATAAAATGCCGTCTAGTGTTGTTTAGCCAGCTGGACATGCTGTGATCTCATTTTTAGATGCCAGTAATATGCCTACATTGTGTTATCATCACTTGTGTGGTGGTGAAGGGAAATTTGTGTTATCATCACTTGTGTGGTGGTGAAGGGAAATTTAAATGCTCTTGGAGAGACAGCAGTTAACAGATGGAAAAATTACTTCAAGAACCCGATACCTCTGAGTACCAAGATAGCAGTTCCTCAAAGGGCTTCCAAGGCCTAATTTTTCAAAATAGAATTATAGGTAATTGTACTGAGTCTTACGGATGGAGGAAGAATAGGAAAGATTAGTAGGAATTAGCCTCTGTGATTGTATATGCCACGTACAGCTTGGAATTCTATTCCAAACTTCACTGAATGGGAACTGGATCCCATTATATAACTTTCTTCTAGAATTTGAATTGCATGAACATAGAAATAAATTAGGGGATTTGGCAGTTTTACAATCCCAAAGTAAAAATTACTCAAAAGTTCCCTGGCTGCTTTTATTACCCCTGTGCCTAAGCAGTGTTAATTCGATACTGAGCCGTGCTGGAGTAGTAAGCACTCTGGTCGTTCAGTAACTGATACGCAGCACAACCCATTTGCCTTCATATTTTGTCTGGAAGCTGGTGATTGTGTAACGTAAGCGCTTGCTCCCTCAATTGAAAAACCCAGGTGAGGAAGTAAAACAATCTTTGGCATTTTTAAAGCTACTAATGTTAGTGGTGTAGTGTCTGTGTTGCAGGGTGGGATAGTGACAAGAGACAAGGATACGGCATGAAAATTTTTGTTCATTAAAAGCAGAAGAGGGTTTTCAGGGCAGCACAGTGAAACCGCTGGTACTGTGGGCTTTGGAAGTGAGAAGAGGTGGGACTTGACTCGAAAAGCAATAGCCAAGTTGGCTTAAAACAAATGCAGAAGGCAAGATGAAAGTTTCTAAATAGCTTATTTCAAAAATTAAGTGTTGGAAGTTGTTTGACCTCTTTAATTTTGTATTCCCTGTGTAAATTCTACAAATTGGATAGCCTTTAAACTGACAAAAAAGGGTCACTTCAGTATCTCTTGCTAACTAGTCAACGGAGTTTTCTTTAACGAGTTTTTTCAGATGGGGCAGCACTTATTTACACTTCAGTAAAGGAGAACAAAAACGTTGATTTAGTGTATAAATATATAGTCCAGAAGTTGTATGGATTTCCTTTCAATGTTCCAGCTGTTGTTGTGGAAAAAGATGCTGTATTTATGTAAGTTACCCGCGTGACTACGTGTGTGTGCAACTGCAAAATGTGTTTGTGTAAGAGTGCAAAACTGCACTTGCAGCCTTTTGCTTGTGCTTTTCAAAGTTCTATTTAACGTCCTCGTGAGCTGGAGTTTGGTGAGTGCCAGTGGATTGAGACTGTAAATACTCACTGCCCCAAGGAAGTGTTGAACCCAGAGATTTTGCTGTCTTTCTGTTAAGGTGAACCAGTCTCTGGTTGTACTAGTCAGTGACTAGCTTGCGCAGCGGAACGGGAGCTGTGACGGCTTCCCTGGGACTGCACGCAAGAATAACCTGAAGGAGCAATAGAATTTAAAGCCAAATAATCCTTTATCTAGTCCTGCAGGTTGGGATAATGACAAGAAGATAGGGATATTGCACGAGAACTTTCAGACACTAAAAGCAGAAGACAGTTTTGAAGATATCATAACAAAACCACCAGTCAGAAAGGTAAATTGAGATATTTTGGCATTCAGCTTCTTCCCTATTTATTTACCTGTCAGGTTTTTGACTGTTTCTTTTTCTTTGAGACTTTGCTTCCAGTTTGTCACAAGTGTGATTAAACCCTGTGGATGTTTTTCTTACTGTGTCTTTTTATTTTATTCTGGCTTTCAAAGAAATGGCTATGTACTTTGTTCTGTGTAGCTCGTCTCCAGCTTACGCTGGGGTTTTTCTGCCACTGTTACGTTGTTCAAGAGTACAGATGTACTTGTTTTCAGTACGTTTGGTATTGAAAAGTCTTCAGTGTCATTTAACTGTTGGTCAGGCTGAGATGGTATTGTTTACAAATGCTCTGTTTTGCTCCGAATTGCTCGTAACTTCATGGTGCCTCCTGTATCTGTTGAAGTCTTTCGAACGAAGGAAGCTTGAGACAGTGTAAAATCAAAAATCGAGATGTGAAAATGGGTTTTACATATATCCAGTATGTTTTCTCTTCACAACTGTTTCACAAAAGGCTTGGGCAGAACTACCTGAAACCACACGTGGGGTTATTGAACACAATGCCAGCAGCAGTGGACCCCGTGCGCACGGACGTTATTGAAAGCAAATATTTCCATGGCTTTTTCTAACAAAGCTAAGAATTTGGAACTTATCATATTTCCAAGTGTGAATTATTTTAGCTGAGAAAGAATCACTTCTGAGATGTCCTTTCTGCAATCTTCAGGGAAAAAATCAAGACATATATAGTAGTAGGTTAAATCATAAGAGTCCAAGGAAAATACGGTTTTTTGCATGCTTATAAACTTCAGACCTGGATTATAAACCTTAATACTGCTATGTGCCATGCTTGTTTTGGCAAAGCTCTTGTGGTGAGCTGATTTGGAGGGAGAGTGCTTGTGTTTTCCTACATGGACCCGGGAACTACGATGTCTCTGTCCAGTTCATATAAAAGTCTGTTGCAGTGCCGGTGCAGGGTAACTTCTGCCATAGTTATCGGTAAAATAAGACCAAGGTTGGGTCTCTGAGTTAACAGAGGCGTGAGTGTGCTGTGGAGTGTGTACATCTGTGAACACTTACAGATCCTGAGATCTACTTTCCTTCTAATTAATTTAGCTTAAACGGAATCGTGAGGTACCAGTCTTAAATGTAGAAGTTGTGGTCTGCAGTCAGCGTGTACTTTACACGTTTAACTCATTGTTGAATGCCTTGATCGTAGTTGGGGGGGTGGGGTGGGGTATAAAAGGGAATACATTTCTTTATTGTAGTCAAAATCGTGTTGATGTTTTTGTATTGCAGTTTGTTCATGAAAAAGAAATCGTAGCAGAGGATGACCAAGTGTTTCTTATGAAGCAGCAGGTAATTTTCTGTCTGTAAAACAGGCAGCCTGTGTTTCACTTGACAACATTCTCAATACAGATTTGGTTTTGTGTTCCTAGTTACTGTAATGGCTAACGCTGCATGGGCTCGTTTGTTTTTTGCAGTCACAGCTGGCGAAACAACCACCTACTGCTGCAGGAAGGCCAGTGGTTAGTACCAAAAATTTTAAATATCATCACATGGAAATGATTCGCTTTCATATATTTAGAGGATTGCTTGTTTTAATTGCCCTATCCAATATTGTTTGATCTCGTTTTTTAAACTACGTAGTGTTTAAAGTCTACATTGTGCTCTAAAATTATGACACTTCTTCACAGCAAATCATGACGACTTGTAATGACAGCAAGGACTGAATGTCATGGCTTTACTCTCCATGTGTTAGATGTACTTAAACAGTTAGTTGACTCCTCTTTCTGCCCTGAATGTGTCAGGGAGCAAACTCTGTTGGCTGAATTGCCTTGGTGAGTTTTAAATTCTAAATTTGGCACTACCTCTCTAGGAACATTAAGACTCTGGCATGAAACTAAGGTCAGATGAAAACTATGACATCACCTGCATTTAAAATACAAATAAAATAACTGAAAGGCCACACAAGTTTAATGGGGAGCATGTGATCATACAAAGGTGGTTTTACCTTTTTAGATGAACTGCAATTTTGCAGAAACATGACGTGTTATCCTTGAAGTAATGAACAATGCTTCTTCTCCTGGGCTGCACTTAATCCCTTCCACAGTATTGGTGTCTTTCCAAGAAACTTGGTGTAGTTCCCCTATGACCTCATCAGTGCAGTTTCCATTACGGTCAGAGGCGCTACTGGGCAACGTGGATTTTCAAGTTTCTCATTTATACGAAATGATAATGTTTCACTAGTGCTTTAGTTGCACCGAAGTTAATATTTGTAAGAATGTTATACAAGTGTAAAACACTTGCACACAGCCATCAAAATCTAATCCTGTGTCATTTGAGTTGCGTGGGATACTGCGTAGTCTAAACAAAATAAATTAGGAGCTGAGAGAACGTAACGCCTCATATTATGTGCTCTTAGGCTGCATCGTTTAGTTCTGTAGAAGGCTGACTAGTTCAGCTTTGGAATTTTTTTAATTTTGGGGTTTTTTCCCCCCATAGGATGCCTCTCCAAGAGTTCCTGGAGGATCTCCTAGGACACCAAATCGATCTGTAACATCAAATGTGGCCAGCGTTACACCTATCCCTACTGGGTCAAAAAAAATTGATCCCAATATGAAAGGTACCTTTTCTTCTGAGGGCACAAATACAGTGGGGGAAGTAAAATAGCTGCTTTGTGTGCTTTC